GATAGAGAAGAAATACAGACTTTCATTGGCAGCTTGGGTAGCTGTGTGGTTTTGGTGCAGTGTCAATGATGGAGAGACTGTCTCTAACATTTGCAAATGGCCTTAGAGGGGCATACAAGGAGGTAAATCCCAGGGCAAACCAGGACTACAAAGCACTAGCACAGTCCCAATATTACAGCTTCCTCTGCATGCAGAGCCACGCTCTGTTCTTCATGGACCTCAGAATCTACTGCAAGGCCAAGGGACAGGATTTAGCCCTTATTTTTACAAGCAGCAGCCCCAGCATCCCAGTGTAGGCAACCTTGTCCTTCCATTCATAACCCTACCTATTGCAGAAGGACTGGAACTCATCAACTAGAGAGCTTTGCTTTAACCTGCAATTCCCTAGCCAACAATAAATTAGTTTATGAATTGTAAGTACATCAGTTTATCACTGATACAACGAAAGCTCCAGTGCAGATAATATTTCAAACCGGATGCATCCATCATGATAATAATCTGTAGATGTCTTTTAATTCTAGAAGACAGTGAAATATTTTTCTTCTGACAAAAATCATGCCCCAGAAACAAAAATATTGAACTAAACTCAACTCATCTAAAACAACACTGTACCAGTAGTCTGTATTTCACATAGTACTGTGATCTTAACACACTTGACAACTTTGTTCAGGATGCATCCTGAGTGCTTTTAAAGTCCAAATGTTTGACAAAAGAGATTTTCAAAACTCCAAGAGTCTGCCTCCCCATCTGTCCACCTTAAAAGTGTATAATTTTCTTAGTAGCATTTTAATTTTTATTTCTATTTTACTATTTTTAGTTTTATATATTTAAAATAAGAATGCACATAAGCAATTAATATTTCTTGTTCTTATGTCAAATAATCTTAAATATTTTCCTATGAAGTATTTTTCATTATATAGTTGCCAATATTTAGCAGATGCTGGGGAAAAAAATATCTCATGTATTCACTGGTTTTTACCTTCCCCCTTACCTTCTGTTTCCTAGGATAAGAATGTTAATCTGGAGAGTAAATTCCAATTTGTTTTCCTTTTTGAAGGAGTAATAAAATTAACTGCTTTTGTTGAATGAAGTTGCCTGTCTTCAAGCAGTAGTACTGTGACCAACAGCTTAAGGAAAAAGGCTAAATAGCATAACCTTAAAACTTGCATAGGTACAATCATGCTATCTAAAACAGTATAATAAAGATATATCATTTAATAATACTAAACTGCAAAAATGAGAGTAATTCTTCACTAAACACCTTCCCTTTGTTAATGCCTTAGAAACAGCTGAGTCTAAAAAGATACTAGTCTTAGGGAACATACCAATTTCTGTGGACAAAGTGCAAGGATTTACTCTCTCCTGATTCCCTCTGCCTGACTTGGTGTGGAGCCTTCAGTGCCCTGCTCCACTCTGGGTCTCCTCTTTGGTGAAAAAGGGATTTCATTGCCTGTGTCACTGTAGTGGATTTCTTGTGAAAAAACCTCTAGCATGAGTAGTTCCTCATGGTGGTAAGGAAGGTGATGGTGGAGTTTATTTACAGCTCAATAATTCGTGTAGCTGATTTCAGAGAGAAACCACACAGGTTTGGGAATGATGCAGTTAATGCCTAACCTCCTACCCTTACTGAATATAAACACTTCTGTATTGTATAAACCCCAACACTTTTCTCCTGACTGTATAAACACATACAGCTGATGTTACCTTAATTAAGTTCTGTCCTTTACCCAGTTCAAAATTACCTTTTGTTGATGCAGAAATGTTTGGGAGACATTTACTAATGAGGAAAGAAGGAATAAAAAAAGAGTCTTAGCACATTTTTAATAATGTGTCCAATAGCCAGGTTGATTGACTAACTAGACCTTGTCCTGTGCTGAGGCTGCCCCTCACCCCCACAGCTCTGGTCACAGGAACTTACTTCCAGCTCAGTCACCTGAGACAACCTTCAGCTACAAAGTAGGGATAAAAAGCTGAATTCTATCAAAGAACCATAAGACAGGAGCTCCACAGAAATGCCACATCCTGCCATATTAGAATGAATGTCTTTTGAGCAACAGTAGATGATTTTAAGGTGGAAGGAATTGAACTATCTGCCTCAGAACACCAAGGCCATCCAGATGTGTGTCAGCCATGCAAATTCCTCATAAGGAACCAATCACTGACAGATAGAATGACATTATTACACTAACCAAGCAGAGGCTGTTCTCAGCCAAGCAGAGGAGAAGCCAAGCCAGCCATGGTGCACTTGAAAAGAAGTGCAGACGAGGAGGAATCCTAAGTTCTAACCACTCTCTGAACCACGAGTGAGGCGAGGGAGATGGCTGGGCCCAGGAATGCTCCTTCAGGAAGTGCTTGTGGTTAAAAACAGAAGCAACCACATGAATAAGAGGTTTTAGGAGACAGCTAGACGACATTGATTGAGAAGAAATATTAAAGCACAGAAAAAAGGAAACCAGGAAGGATGAAAAGGCCCAAAAGATCTGTATGCATTTGAATCTGGTTTCAGGAGAAAAGTAAAACCCAAATAACTGAAGATTCAGACATCCTATGACACCAACATTTTCTTGTAGTTAGAAACAAAATAAATAATAATTTGGTCTTTCTTTGCCCTCTGGAAGCCCTGTTAAACAAAAACATTACTTAAGACAAATTATAGTATCTGTAGTCTCAGAAAAGTGAATGAAAGACTATTCTCTTCTTGTCTTCTGATTTCATACACAGAATTGATACTTTAATATTCCCTTGCACAGTCTTTCAGGGTGTGAATGTCAAGTACACTTAATGATCAACAGAAGTGCCCCTTTTCATCGCCCACTGAGCACAATGATGGTGTTTTAGAAAATTCTACGGAATTCGAGTTTTCCAGAGACTTTGATGGACAGTTTTTGTCAAAACTGAATGGTAACTTAATTCAGATTTCCAGATTTATGGAAATTCAGATTCATATCACAGGCAGCTCATTTGCTTTTCTTTTCAGGAGTTAGCTCAATTTAGTGTTCTTATAGCAACAAGCCTTAAAACCTAATTCTGCCTAAAGTGTAAAACCAATGTTAAAATCTATCAATATAATTTTCACTATTGCTTGTAAATTTAAGGGTATGCTTATTTTTCTCTATTTTTCTGTATTACAGTGATTAGAGCAAAAATATCCAGTGAAAAGGTGGTTCCTGCCAGTGATGATCCTCTTGACACCCACAAAATGATCCGGTATGAAATCAAACAAATAAAGGTACATGGAATCACTTAGCTATTTTGAAATTCAATGCTGATAACCAATGTGTATGACTGCAGTTCAGCCATAAGTGCTTTAAGATGGAACAGGCTTCAGTTAGACTGAACTACACAGAATTAATAAAAATAGGGATTTAAAAACCAAAAAAAAAAAAAAAGGGGGGGGGGAAGCAAGCTATTTTGACATTCATTACTTAGTTACTAAATGATATTTTGATGCAATTTGTTATTCTCATATGCTTTTAACAAACTTTATGAGGACATACTTCAATCTAGGAATGGTGTTCCCTGTTTCTAGTCTATAGTTGATGGCCTATGTGGCATTATGATTTGGAAACTCTCTGGATGATTCAGACATTATAGAGGAATGTATTTCCAGCTGAAATAGCCAGGTCCTTGGTTCATAAGTGAACAGGGATATCTGCAGGAAGATGAGTCCTTCCCTGATACTCACACAAACAAAACTCCATTTGTATCAACGTTGCTAGGAAGCAAACACAAAGTTGGAGCACACAAAACTACACTAATCCAGAATCTCACAGGACTTTTCCATTATTTGTTCAGCTCCAACAAAGAGACACATTCTTTAATGTACTTTAAGAAGAGATCTCTCCATCCCATTCAGGTCCCCATCAAACTCCCACTGATGTTAAAAAGTTCATTAACTACCTGTTTCTAGAACACACAACAAATAGGTGGTCTCTTTCAGTTAAAATGTAGTGTGCATTTGTGGGTTTCTGGCTTACACTGTTTGTTTCCAGTTTTCTAGGGGGCTTTATCTCCCATTTTTCACAGACTGTTCTTTTGTATTACTTGCATTGACTTGTATTAGTACATTTACTAGGAACACTTCAGTATATCATTGTGAATGGCTACATGCTTAAAAAAAATTTCAGTCCTTCAAATTGTACCAAAAGTTCACCTGGACTTTTGCAAAGAAAAGGCAATGGTAAACAAGAATATCTCAAAATATTCCCAAGTGTGATTATCATACATGACTGCTGTTAAGGTTTTATAGCAATTTCAACAAGCTGATGCTTTTTACCTTGCTATAACAAACCCCAAAACTCTTCACCATCTGCCACTTTGTCTTCTAGAACTATTAAGGATATTTTTCAAGTGTTTCTTTACAGAAATAAGTATAGAAATATGAGAACAATTCTCCTTCCTCCCACTAGCACTTTAATTTTCTGTTGCTACCTTGAAACACTTGAGTAACCTTATACCTTGGCAGAAAACAGAAGAATGAGAAATGTTCTTCAGGAATAGCACACTAAAATATCTGGAATGTAGTCATATAATGGAGCTGCTTTAGAGTTTCTCCTGAATTATTGTAAGTTGAGGCCTATTCAAAACTCAGGCATCCCTAAGAGTTCTTAATTTAATTTCACAAAGCTTTAGTAGGCAAGTCAGCAAGGACTGATGGACCACTGGGTGGATAAGAGGTTGGCTGGATGGCTGCACCTAGAGAGTTGTGGTCAATGGCTCAATGTCCAAGTGGAGGCAGGTGATGAGTGGTGTCCCTCAGGGGTCAGTATTGAGACCAGTGCTGTTCAGCATCTTTGTTGGAGACATGGACAGTGGGATTGAGTGTATCCTCAGCCATTTTCCTGATGACATCAAGCTGTGTGGTGTGGTTGGCACCTAAGAGGGAAGGGATGCCATCCAGAGGAACCTGGATAGGCTGGAGAGGTGGCCAGTGCCAACGCCATGAAGTTCAACAAGGCCAAGAGCAGGGTCCTGCACCTGGGTTGGCACCAATACAGGCTGGGGGAAGAAAGGCTGGAGTGGAGCCCTGAGGAGAAGGACCTGGGGGTGGTAAGATAGTTGATAAGAAGCTCAACATGAGCTGCCAGTGAGCACTGAAGCCCAGAGGCCAATTGTGTCCTGGGCTGCATCAAGTGTGGCCAGCAAAGCCAGGGAGGGGATTCTGCCCCTCTGCTCTGGTGAGACCCCATCTTCAGTGCTGTGAACAGTTGTGGTGCCCTCAGCACAAGAAAGATATAGACCTGTTGGAGAGGGTCCAGAGAAGGGCCACCAAGATGATCCAAGGGCTGGAGCAGCTCTGCTCTGGAGACAGGCTGGGAGAGTTGGGGTGTTCAGCCTGGAGAAGAGAAGGCTCCAGGGAGGGGCTCCAGAAAAGCTGGGGAGGGGCTTTTCATCATAGAAGATAGTGATAGGACAAGGGG